CCCGGTGATCAAACCAGCCGCTACTCATTAGAAAATCGTTTTGTCCATAGTTTTAGCGTTCTTAGTCCTGGAGGGGTTAATTAATATACAACATAGCTTAATTTAATTTTATTTATTTACTTGTTCATATTTTCTCCCTCTTTTTACATACGCCTTCTTGCTTATTTCATTTCGTATTTATAGCCCTTCATGTTCTTATTCTCTCTCAAACCCCCAACCCCCCTCCCCCAATTCCGCCACTTACATACTTCTTGTTTTCGTGTTCACCTTTGTATTCTTATTTCAACTCTGTTGTCTTATCCGTTACATTTTCCAGTCACAGTTTGTGCTGTATTTTGTACTCCGTTGAAAAAGGCTTTAATCGAAACTTTCGATTCTGTTTGTTTGCAGGTTTTCCATTCCCTCCGTTGAACTTTCGAGTTACATTTTGTGTTATATTCAGCATTTCTTGCAATCGGCTCGACTGCAGTCACCAAGGTTTATGCCAGATAAAGAAAAATACAACATACTAGTTGTAGGTAAACCTAGCCAAAAAAACTATTAATGACATTCAGTTTGGCACATATAAAATATTTTAGCCACTGTATTTCTTGTTTGTCTGTTTGACTTTTCCATGGCTGCTTGGAGGTGAAGGAAAGATGACAACATTGGATAGGACACACGTTGAGAAAGCCTGATAAAAATTTACCTGGACTGTCTTTGCACTGGAATCCAGAGGGGCATAGAAATAGAGGCAGGAAAAAACAAAACAACGGAAAGCTAGAGAATGAAGTTAAAAAGATGGAGTGAGCTGAATAGAAGAAGAATACACTTAGCACAAAGAAGCTAGACCACAGTTACAACCTAAACTGCTAGCAGTGGGTTTAAGGTCGTGCTCCACCCCCCTCCTCCTCCTCGTGGACTGGTCTTTCTTCTCAGAACTCCATCTGGTACCCGTTCATGGCTGGGTCGACCTGGGAGCCAAGGTCATTTGGGGGGGGGGTGAAAAAAAGGGGGGGGGGGGGAGTCCGGCTTTATCAGGACCTGCTCTTGAACTTCCGATCCGCAGGCGAGCGTCAAGCTGCTACACCATATTGACTAACCGTAAGACAGTCATGATAGGTTTTTTTTTTTTTAAATGTCCTCAAGGAATGTTGTCATGACTTTCGGATAGCGTTACGAGCGCCACACCGTGGCAGAGATGATGGCCTGACCATGTTCACCGCATATCACGTTGTTCCCTCATCTTATAGTCATCTTCACCCACCCTGAGCACCTGCTGCTGAAATCCCGTAGTCACTCGATACCAAGTAAAGCATCACACGCTCCTTGTCTTGTGGGTTGTGGGACCCCATTTTGGGGGAAAACAGAATAGACCCACTGTCCCACCTAACAAGCATGTCATTAAAGCCGACTAATTTGGACGTGACTTTCGAAGTCAAAGTGCACTGGCAGAAGAGGCAAGGAAGCAACAGATCTCTAAAACGGATGTTCACGCAAAGCTCAAATTCTGGAACAAGACCAGATACTTGTGGAGCTACCACAACTTTCCGCTGGTTTTTACAAACGATGAACATGAAGAAGAAGAAGAAGAAGAAGAAGAAGAAGAAGAAGAAGAAGAAGAAGAAGAGAAGGAGGAAGATTGTCTGCATACTTTTTGAAACAAATCGGTGGTGCCCTAACCATGTATGGAGGGGCAGATCCACGTCAGACCTTGATCGTCATGTACAGCCAGATGCCACCATTGTCCGCCATAGAAAAAGAAATGTTTACTCTGTTGCAGCATGTCAAGATAATAATTACAATAACAGCATTTCATCTGTTGCTTTTTTACACATGATGAATTATTGATTATTGTTATCAGGGGAAGTAACGATAATTAAAATATTTTACAGTAATCCGAACAAATGGCGGGATGCTGTTTGTCAGACGTGCATTAGTCTCCGAGTTATGTATAAACATACGCTTTTATTTCGAGCACACAACTGCTTCAGTGCAACCTCCATACGCAAATTATGTTATTATGTTGTCGCGTTGAGCGCTTCTGCAGCTTCCATACATAACTTGTATTATTATGTTGTCCCATTCAGCGCTACTGCAACGTCCACACACAATTTATGCTATTGTAGTAGGCTGACACTTCCACAGACAACTTGTTATGTTAACCAGTCACAGTCGGCGTCACTGCATATTCCACAGACAACTTGTGCTATTTATCACAGTTGGCGTCACTTCAATGTCCACACACAACTTATGTTATGTTATCAGATCGGCATTACTGCAACTTCCACAAACAACTTATGTTATCACAGTTGGCGTTACCGCAACTTGACCCCACAACTATGTTGTGTTATCACAATTGGTGTCACTGCAACTTCTACACACAACATATTTTATCATAGGTGGCGTCACTGCAACTTTCACACACAGCTTATGGTATCATAGGTGGTGTAATGGCAACACCCACACACAACTTATGTAATCACAGGTTGCGTTACTACATCTTCCACACACAACTTATATTATAATAGGTGGCGTCACTGTAACTGCCACACAAAGCTTTTGTTATCACAGGTGGTGTCACTGCATCTTCCACACACAACTTATGTTATCAGAAGTCGTATTGCTGCAGCTTCCACACACAACTTATGTTGTCACTGCAACTTCCACACACAACTTATGTTATTTATCACAGTTAGTGTCACTGCAACTTCCACACACAACTTATGTTATTTATCACAGTTGGTATCACTGCAACTTCCACACACAACTTATGTTTTTTATCACAGTTTGTGTCACTGCATATTCCACAGACAACTTATGCTATTTATCACAGTTGGCGTCACTTCAATGTCCACACACAACTTATGTATTGTTATCAGATCGGCATTACTGCAACTTCCACAAACAACTTATGTTATCACAGCCTGTGTCACTGCAATTTCCACACACAACTTATGTTATCACAGTTGGCGTTACTGCAACTTTAACCCACAACTTATGTTATCACAGTCGGCGTCACTGCAGCTTCCACACACAACTCATGTTGCCACAGCGTCACTGCAACTTCCACACACAACCTATGTTATTATAGGTGGCGTTACTGCAACTTCCGCATACAAATTATGTTACCACAGGTGGCTTCATTGCAACTTTCACACACAACTTATGTTGTCACTGCAACTTCAACACACAACTTGTGTTATTTATCACTGTTAGAGTCACTGCAACTTTCACACACAGCTTATGTTATCACAGTTGGTGTCACTGCAACTTCCACACACAACTTATGTTATTTATCACAAGTGGTGTCGCTGCAACTTCCACACACAACTTATGTTATTTATCACAGTTGGTGTCACTGCAACTCAACCACACACAACTTATATTATTTATCACAGGTGGTGTCACTGCAACTTCCACACACAACTTATGTTATTTATCACAGGTGGTGTCACTGCAACTTCCACACACAACTTATGTTATTTATCCCAGTTGGTGTCATTGCAACTTCCACACACAGCTAAAGTTATCACATGTGGTGTCACTGCAACTTCCACATAAAACTAATGTTATCACAGTTAGCAACTTCTAAACACAATTTATGTTGTCACTGCAACTTCCACACACAGCCTATTTTGTTTTTACAGTCGGCATCACTACAACTTCCACTGCACAACTTTTCATCCAATATACTGTCCTTTAAAATGGGCATTACAGTGAGTGCCCAGTTATACGCTGCAACAGCCTTCCCCAAGTACCTCTGCTGTCTTCTGCCTTTAGAAAATTAGTTATAATGTCACTAATTTTCACCCCCTGAATAGTCGGGCTTGAACATGTTTTACTGTTAGGTTATAAAATCAGGTTAGCATCAGAAACTGCGTTATCCACCAGCCGAGTGGGTACACCATCGACTATACCAGCTCAGTCCATGTCTCTTTCCTCTTATGTGAAAGGATAACTAGCCATTTGGTCTGTGCAAGGATAACTAGCCATTTGGTCTGTGCAAGGATAACTAGCTATTTGGTCTGTGCAAGGATAACTAGCCGTTTGGTCTGTGCAAGGATAACTAGCCGTTTGGTCTGTGCATTCATTATCTTTCACTCTGGCATGCCCAAGTGTAGAGATCTAGGTGAGGAAAGTGAAGGACATCTTCAAATGGTGTCTACCCATTCAAAGGATGTTTTCAATACATTGAAGCACACTTGATTCTGGCTAGAAGTGAAGCACCCATGATTCGTCCCTGATAATCTGTTCAGCATGTCTTCTCCATCTACATATGTACAGAGATGAGGCAAGGGCAGACCTAATCGGTTCATTAAGTGTTCGTCTGTCAGTTGTCTGGGTACCCACCTTGAGCACACTCTCTTAAATTTAGATCGATCATGCATTATGTTGTATGCTGATCCTGCATTAGGTTGTATGCTGAACCATGTGAGCACCCTATTGCAGCTGCCACAGAGTCAGCCGTTACTTGCCTGTCACCTTAAATCATCTACTTCACCTGCTGCACGGATTCGTCTGTTGCAGTCTCAACATGGTGACCAGATCAGACTTCATCAACAATTTTAGAATATCCTTGAGAAAAAGTTTTTACCCAGCTATGCACCGATTTACGGGATAAACAGGAAATATTTTCTCATGAAAGTCCTGTGCAGGCAACCTTTTTGCCTCCCCCCCCCCCCCTCGCCCCCAACCCCAAACGTAAAACAGCATAATGTTCTTTGTGTCATAAAATTTCAAGTTGCTGTCACCTAATGATACCATTTGAAACCACCAACTACATTTTCCTGCCAATCCATAAGCATTTGTGACGTACTTATTGACTTCCTCTCATACTTCAGTGTAACTTTCGCACACAGCTACTACAGTGTAGCTTCTACAGTTCAGTGTAATTTTCACACACAACTTCCACATGTCAGCTTCCACACATGACTACTACAGTACATCTTTTGCTCACAACTACTTCAGTGTATCTTTCATACAAAACTAGTAAAGTGTAACGCCATGATTGTCCCCAGATTTGCTACCGCCTGATTGACAGTTTGATCAATCCAGCAGCACTGATGCTCTTCTCTGACATCACCAATGCTGTAGATGTTCTCCTGCCTTCAGATGCTGGGCTGTTACAGGTAAACAGGATATTAGGCAATTGCAATTCCAGTTTCATAACAAATGGGTCACCCCACAGTTACCCACTTCCTTTGGCAATAAAAACCACAGAGAATATCCCTCACTGTCACCTAGTGAAAACTGACACAGAGTCTCAGCAAAGCCAGTAGCATACGCACACGTATTAAATGCATAAGGCAGCCATCAGAAGTGCCTGTACCAACAGTCCAGCACTTGAAATGCAGTTATCATTGTGGAAGCAGCAGTTACCCAGATCAGTAATTGCATATGTAATTTATTGTATAAGGCACCACATGTTCTCTGGCAAGAGGTTAGGTGCATTCACGGTTCCATAAATTGATGGGTCCGTTACATTAAAATTATTGAACAAGAATACCATATCAAAGGGACACAACTAAACAATTTCACATATTCCAAAGAACGCAGTCACTAACTCAAACCAAAGTTGTCGCTTTGCAGACTTGTTTGTTCTTGCTAATGTTGTGTTGATCTAACTAATTGATAGTGAATTTATACTCTGTAGAGGAACTATTGATTAATTTGTGTGTTTAAAACATATTTAAAATAGGTATGTGCCCATGCATGACAAGAATCCTTTACTAAACTTATTTTTTCAAACCATACCTTATATCGCAGCAATATTTATATATTCTTTACGTCCTTCTTAGGACGTAATTTTTTGTTATTTGAAGCCCCACTCTGGCTTTTGCCAGGGGCCGCAATATAGGCAGGCCATCAATATGGCCAATTGTCTGAACGCGGTTTCTGGGACCTCTCCACGGTGATCCTCATCCGCATGGTAGCACTTTGTGTCATTGGGTGTTTATCGCTTGTGTGATGTCCTGGTGGGGTAGAAAGTCAGTCAGTCAGTCAGTCAGTCAGTCAAGCAGCAATATTGACATCCACTTATGGAATGCAATTTTTCCTTTTTTTTCAAGCTCCACCCTCGCTCTTGCCAGAGGCCACAATATAGCCTGGCCATAAATATGGTCTAATGGCTGAATGCGGTTTCCGGGACCTCTCCACGGGTGATCCTCATCCACATAGTGGCACTTTGTGTCACCTGGTATTTATCGCTCAGCGTGATGTCCTGGTGGGGTTGGGCATCAATCAATCAATCAATGCTCCAATTATAATTTCTCTAGAGCTTGAATGAGGTATCTGGGATTTGCCTCATTTGTCTACCATCCCAGTTAAATGTTTGTAATCTCAGGTTGTTAGACTTTCCAATAGCTGCACTGAGAGGAAACATGGATATGGATATAATTTGTTTATAATCTCAGGTTGTTAGACCATCCGATAGCAGTCCTGAGAGGAAACATGGATATAGATACAATTTGTTTGTAATCTCAGGTTGTTAGACCATCCGATAGCAGTCCTGAGAGGAAACGTGGATATGGATACAATTTGTTTACCTATAACAGTAATTAACAGATCATCATCATCATCTTCAAGTGCCCTGCCGACTGGCATAGGCGATCATGCCTTTCCACAATCTATGATCTGCAAGTGCGTGTATCAGCTCGTGTGTTGACATCCCTCCATGCCATGACAAAGGGCTGTCAAAAATCTTCTTGTGCTGTCTTTCTCTGTCTCTCTTTCCAGAGATTTTTTCAGTGGTCACTTCATTTTCCAGCTTTTCTTTCTTCTTATAACATGACCAAAAATGACCACTGTCTCTTTCTGATGTTTGTGATAAGCTCTCTTTATGCCATGACTTCATTCTAAACATCTGAGTTCCTCTTTTTAGCTGTCCAATAAATTTTAAGGATTTTTCTGTAAAACCACATCTCCGAGGTTTCAAGATATTGTTCGGCCTGTCTGTTAATCATCCAGGATTCAAAGCCTTACCGTACAGGGCCACCCTAGACCAGGGAAGACAACAATGCAGAAGTTTACAGAAGTGAAACAAATGATAGAAGACAGGTAGAAAAGTAAAGAATGAATCACAGAAAGCAAAGAAATGGGAAACCGCAAAAAGTAAAGGCAGGAAACAGACAAATATGATAAAATTATCTATGTTTATGGGCAGCATCTTTGACATTTAAGTTGTGAACACAGTTTCATCATTCTAACATACAAGGACTTGAAGCTGGCTGCTGCCATTTTGGTAGAAAACTGTTTTGCGTTAATTATTGAATTGGTATGAACTTCACACCATTTAGAAAATAATGGCAAACTAGGTGAATGTAAAATTGCCTAATGAAACCACTAACAACCAGCAAAAACTTTTAACCTTTTTCAGTTGAGGTTTGGACGATATTCAGGAGAACATGATGATGATGATGTATTTAATAGATTCCAGTTTAGAAGAAATTAAATGGTTTGGCCACCTGACAAGAATGCCCTGGTACCAACTGCCACAGAGAGCCACGCTGAAGAAATATAATGAACACAGAGCAAGTGGAAGACCACACAAGATATGGAGCGACATCATCAGGACCTAACATAAATCAATACCAACTTGTATAATACATTGGAAAAAATGCACAAACGATCCTTATAGCTTCCCCCAACACCTTGTTGAGGTAATTGGTGGAAGTGAAGAAGTCTGTGTATCAAATCAGGGTGTTAAATAAGTGTCAAGTCTGTGTGTCAAATCAGTGTGTCAAATCAGAACTCTGTACACACATGTACACACACAATACACACTAGTAAGTGTCAACTATTAAGTAGTTAGCTACTTGCACCAGAACAAGAGATTTATTTGCCATGTTTTTTTTTTCTTTCAGAGTTTTCTGGATGCTTTTGTAGAATCAGCTGACAGCCCCTATGGTTGTCTGGTAATACATGGCCGTGTTGTGACAGCAACGAAGAAATGGTGGGACTTAACTGCAACAGAACTGCTCCTTCTGTCCTTCCTCATTGGCTCCTTCTCTAGTTGCTCTTCCAGGGATGTGCCCATTTACCTGCCGCAGAGCAGCCCAACTGTAAGTTGCAGGCAAACAGCCAGACTGTCATGTGGCGTTATGTTATCACAATCAACAATACTGCACCTTGGGCATTTCCTATCTGTGTTTAGCCCTCTGAGGTAGCAGCCATCTTAAGTACATCAATTGACTGTATGCACAGGAAAGGTTATAAAAACTCTCTTGAACTATCTTGATTTCGAGGAAGGCATAAACCATCTTTGGCACACTTAACTCCCATGTCATGGATCGAGTTATTCTCCAGGACTCACCATTATCCTTTAGTTTGGTCCCTTCAGCACTGGTTATACCAGCTCTGTCAGTGCTTCCTGCAACTTTATTAGTGCCTTACTTGCTTGCTAGTCAGTCCACTTGTTCATTACCTCTTACACTGATTGTCCGTCCATTACAAGTAAAGAGGACCACCCTTTCTGTCATCCGTCATGAAACTAGTTGAGTTCTGTGAATCCGCAGATGATTTATAAGCCCGATACGGGCCCTGAAGGATCTAGTCTAGGACAGTGAGGGCAGGGAAAAGTGTATTTAGGTAAAGGGGCCTGTTATACTGGTCTTTCTAGCCTGCCAGTGCTGCTCAGCTGCCCTTTTTCTTAAAGCCTCGCGTGTGCTGCCCCTCTTTGAATAGATGTTCGCCATGTAGTCTGGTCTTGTGAATTTTATTATCCATTAAAGGGAAATCAAAGAGAAATCTAGTCATCACACAGGGTATAAATATCTAGTGCACCGCAAGCTAATGCTTATACCAGTATTTAGAATTTGTATTATTCCAAGAAACGTTCCATCTGATCTCATTTGAAAATTGTTTGTTTGTCAGATTCCTCATCGACTTCTCACCTTTGAACTTCTCGCACACGTGGAGGTGTGTGTTATATGTGGACCAACACCCTCACTGGCAGATCTGCAGAGAGAGGTGAGCACTGAGTTTATGTGTTTTCATTCATTATACACTGGACGATCACTGTTTAGTGGGCAAATAGAAAGAGGACTTCGACTAAACATGACAGTTTTTGGGCATATAGAAAGAGGACTGTGACTAAACTTGACAGTTTTTGGGCATATAGAAAGAGGACTGTGACTAAACATGACAGTTTTTGGGCATATAGAAAGAGGACTGTGACTAAACATTACATCTTTTGGCCATATAGAAAGAGGACTGCTACTAAACATGACAGTTTTTGGGCAAATAGAAAGAGGACTGTGACTAAACATGACAGTTTTTGGGCATATAGAAAGAGGACTGTGACTAAACATGACAGTTTTTGGGCATATAGAAAGAGGACTGTGACTAAACATGACAGTTTTTGGGCATATAGAAAGAGGACTGTGACTAAACATGACATTTTTTGGCCATATAGAAAGAGGAGTGTGACTAAACATGACAGTTTTTGGGCATATAGAAAGAGGACTGTGACTAAACATGACAGTTTTTGGGTATATAGAAAGAGAACTGTGACTAAACATGACATTTTTTGGCCATATAGAAAGAGGAGTGTGACTAAACATGACAGTTTTTGGGCATATAGAAAGAGGACTGACTAAACATGAAATTTTTTAGCCATATAGAAAGAGGACTATGACTAAACATGACATTTTTTGGCCACATAGAAAGAGGACTGTGACTAAACATGACATTTTTAGTTATATAGAAAAAGGACTATGACTAAACATGACATTTATTAGCCATATAGAAAGAGGACTATGACTGAACATGACATTTTTTGGCCACATAGAAAGAGGACTGTGACTAAACATGACATTTTTAGTTATATAGAAAGAGGGCTATGACTAAACATGACATTTTTTGGCCAGGTAGAAAGAGGACTGATAATTCTCTTTTTGTGTGTGTGGGGCACATTCAATACAGATCAGCGCTATTTAATCCTGTTTGTCTCTGAGGTGAGGCAGCCAGTGTCATGCCAACCCTGGTTTCTTGCCTCTTACAACATGTATCGTGTTATCTAGCATAACACAGTACAACAAAACACAGTTTATCTCAACTTTATTCAGCTCAATTCAAGTTAACTTAACTTAACTTAGCTCAGCACAGCTTACCACAGCTCAGTGCACTTTAACTCACAACAACCTGACACAAGTCATCAGCCATTCAAGAATCAGTCAAGAGTTTCCTCCTGCATGTGATTATCTATATTAATAAAAATGTTAATTTTCCGAGTTTGTTAACTAAAAACTTGAAAACTACTAAACCAATTGCTTTCAAATTTTCACACAACGTTGCCTTTGACTCAAAGCGTGATTTTTTGTCAGAAAATCGCACAAACCACGAACGACGTAGCTCCAGAAACGATCAAATCATTATTTGTTTCGTTGCCGGCCCGGATTTGTTTTTAGTTGATTGGCTATTTTTTGCTGCTGAGCTCTTTTTTGAACTTTGCGTTACTATATAATTTCGTTTCCAGTATCTGCTTGAGTGTTTGGTAGCGTAATTGGTAACTATTCTACTTATCATGCAAGTGACCCACGTTCGATTCACCGCTAGGTAATTTTTTTTTTTTACCCTTAACTGGGCGGCTGGCACGTTGTGTTGTGGTTTATGGCTAGGCTGCGATATCTACCAGTTTTGTTTGTTTTGGGGTTTACAGCTAGCCTGCGACAGCAGCGACATGATCCTCAATGGTCATGTCACGGGTAATCTTCATTCGCCCTTGAGAGGGCCGTTGGCACGTTGTGTTGTGGTTTACAGCTTGGCTGCGATATCTCACCTAAAAACTCTTCAGTGTTCGGTAGTAAAGTTGTAAGTATTCTACCCTTCAGGTGGGTGACCGGTGTTCGATTCCCCGCTGGGTGATAATTGTTCTTTTTCCCTTAAAAGGGTGGTGAGAGAGCTTAAAACAGTATATTTAAGTTCTTATTTCTTAACTATTTTTTTTAAATAATTTCGCCAGGGAAGATTTTTCAATCCTTCAGGGAGGAAGATAGGACTGGGTCGATGGGAGGGGAGGGGTGGGGGATATAACAGACACTGTTAGCTGAGAGCTATTTTCTTTCTGTTCCATTTCACCATTCTAGGCCACAGCAACGCATGGCCAGGTACAGCTAGTTTAAACATAAAATAAAAATCTCACCTGTTACTAGAGAGCCAGCTTACATTGTCAGCCAGTTGTGAACTATAAAACCTAGGTAATATAATGACAACATGTAATCACTTGTGAATTAACACATCAATACAGCATAATCTGTCTTTTATAAATCTGCATGTGCCTTAGAATCCTCATAAAAATCTCATGTTTCAGATACCAAGATTCTGGTCATCTGCCACAGAAACGCTAAAATCAACTCGGCAGATTTATCCTCGCAACTTCCCTGCCAATATCGCCATCGATGCAAATATTCTTGGGTAAATGTTTCATCTTTCTGTTTCTACTCTGAATGTAAAGAAGAGAATTAGTTGCATTAAGCTGTATACTGTCATAGGTAATTTCATTTGTAAATCTCAAGTTGTGACTCAGTTGTGTCATTATTTTTCAGATTGCCTGCTGAGATATCATATTGTAAACATGTGTCAGGTGGAAGATCATTTCATGGCAGTTGTCTTGTAGATGATTGAAGTCATAGTTAGCTCTTATTGCTCTGAAATCACGTATGTTTGACAGATAACACAATTGCTCTTTTGAGGGAAAACAGAAAAAAACAACTAATTTTTGTCTCTGAAGTTTTCATACCACCATGTTTTCCATTGTTATGTGTATCAGTTTCTTCTCCTTGTCTTTTTCTTCCTCTTCTTCTTCTTTTTTCTCCTTCTTCTGTTCATTTTTATGCCTGATAGTTTTTTTTTTAAACTGGTAAAATGATTGTTGTGCCCTATAGTGTATAGTTTATTTTACTTGAGTTCTAATTGCCAGTTACTTTATCCTGGTTCACTGCAACTTTAAATATTTCATGAGTTTATTGTATACTTTAAAAAAAATTTACTTGTTATCAGCCAAATAAAAATCTATTTCAGTCTTGTTTTAATGTTTTTTTCCCCTGCAGTTTATTTCCTTCTGTGTTGCCTTAATGAATCATTTGCCTGTTGTATAGTTTGTTCTAATTGACTTTGTATTTGGTTGCCAGCTTTCTCCTAGTGAACACAGTCACAAAGAGGTGTCTCAGCTCTGTGAATGCCAGGAGACAGAAAGAAGAAACAATCAAGATAGAAAAAAGGAGGGCCATTCTGCGATCGTTTTATAAACATGTTGTAGGCACATACTTTTCCAGTAGTGTTCCTGGCACAGAAGCAGGTTTGTGCATTTTGTTTTCTTCTTGTCAGTTTAAATTCAGTGTCTTGTCTTTAGGATACCTCTTTGTTTGGATTTTAAAAAAAAAGGCCAGGAATTGAATGGTACGAAAATCTGGCAAAAATGTCTCTTGTTTTCTTATGTTGATAGGCTTCTGTATTTGGATGCAAGGGTAACTGAGCTGTTTTTGTTTGATGGTGATGCTGTTTGCTGGTGATGCTGTTTGCTGGTGATCCTGTTTGCTGGTGATGCTGTTTGCTGGTGATGCTGTTTGCTGGTGGTGCTGTTTGCTGGTGATCCTGTTTGCTGGTGATGCTGTTTGCTGGTGATGCTGTTTGCTGGTGATGCTGTTTGCTGGTGATGCTGTTTGATGGTGATGCTGTTTGCTGGTGATGCTGTTTGCTGGTGGTGCTGTTTGCTGGTGATGCTGTTTGCTGGTGATGCTGTTTGCTGGTGATCCTGTTTGCTGGGGATGCTGTTTGCTGGTGATGCTGTTTGCTGGTGATGCTGTTTGCTGGTGATGCTGTTTGCTGGTGATGCTGTTTGCTGGTGATGCTGTTTGCTGGTGGCTGCTTCTCATTTTTACCATGCGTCATCTGGATCTTGTGCGCTCCTGTTTCTTGTCATTGGTGGTTTATTTTTGTGAGACATGTTTCTGTGTCGGTTTACATCTGTATCCCCTCTGAGTAAAGTCTCAGTTTAATTTTTTTTAGATGTTCATTTTTTCAAGCATGTGCTCACTGTAGACACTTGGTTGTATTGTTTGGGTGGTGCTTGTTTTCCTCCAGAATCATGCTTATCTGTATTATCTCCCCATGGCGTTGTCTCTTTTCTATTAGTGACAATCCTCCAGCTTCTCTGCTGCACTTCCTTTAGATGACTGATTTAGAATGTCCATGATTTTCTCAATATTCTTTTGTGCAAACACATCTTGGTGGCTCCCTGGGATTCTCCTGCTTGTTTGTTGATTGTGCTTGATTCCTGCACCAAAAGTTGTATCCTCAGGTCTGGATATCTTCTTGCAAACACCAGCAGCGATCAGTAGGTATGTTCTTTTTCTTCCTCAGCATTTGAGCACTTAAGGTTGTTTGGTGCACATATCACCCACCTCCATTTATCTCTGCCGTGGTGTTTGACATGTCCAAAATACCTTAGCTGTTAGGAGAGGATGCTGTTTATAAGCCAATTCTCCTTGATTGTTAGGTTATGCGGGATGTCAATGTTCTTATTCTTCTAGGTCCACGTTATTCTAAGAATTTCTAAGAATGTTAGACGGGCCTGAGTGCCCAATTCTCAACCCTTTAAAAATAAAGTTTGTTCGTTCGATATGTGGCTGGCCTTCTCTTTCTGTTTTTGAGACTCGTGCTGTCTGTAAGTCTACCTTAATGTTATCTCTCCACTGTTGACTTCATTATCTACTGCCATTTAGCTCTTTTGTGTATGCAGTTTTTGTCTCTCTATTATCTGCCAGTGTGAGTCATGGACTCTCACTCAGTCTTTGAAGAAGCAAATTGAACCAAAGTACTACAGAAAAAAAATTCTTAGAATAAAACTCATTCTGTTCTGTTATTTTATTACTTACTCACCTGCTAAAAGAGATCTTTCTGTGATACCTTCTACAGGTCCTGCAGAGTTCAGTCACCAGCCTACAGACACATATATTGTCTGCTCCAGCTACAAGTGTTACGCTCACCTGGCTGGGCATTTCCAGATTTTTATCCTCTATTCTACAAAAATCCCAACTTTTGCCATGAGGTAAGATGACACAACATTTACAGTTGCAACTGTATTAAGCTAAGAGCATATTTTAGTTATAAACTGCATATTTTTACCAATACTTTGCTACCAATGCCAGACTTGGACATTATCAAAGGCATACATAAAATTAACACCTATGAAATGAGATGCCTGAGAAAAGATGCCAACTTAACCATCCAAGACAAAAATAAAAATGTTGAATATTGAATTAAGACATCACAGTATTTGGGACACACCCATAAGCGCTCCGTCCCTATCTCCGGCAGCAAGTAAAGAGCTAAAATTCCTATGTTGCCAGTAACTGTCTCATTGTTTATCCATCTCACCTTTCCCCTGAGTGTCGAGCGTCGGCCAGATCCCCTTGTAACTCCTTGCAGTGCCATTATCCTCAGACCGTAATGATCAGTCTGTTCCTCGGCACTATTCACTCGCTCCCAAAGGGCCCTCACAACATCCAGCTTGTCATACACCAGTTCACCACCAAGTGGTGCAGAACCGGCAATTAGAAATGATATTATCAAACAGACTGGGAACAACACCCTGCAGCTTATTCATCAAGAAACAGAAAATGGTTTGGTAATCTAGTAAGAATGCAGCCGGAACAACTACCAGTGCAGGTTCTTCACATGAAAAGATTTGATGTGAAAGCAAGAGGTCGCCCTAGGAGCTGCTGCTGTGGGCAGTGAGCAACTATATGAGAAAGCAGATGTCGTGAAGGGTCTGTGGGATCAGATTGTAAAAGTGCAGATATGGAATCTGTACACTGAAAGACGAATTCAACAGGGCTGTGTAGAGGTTCTGGGAGATATTCAACATTGAAGAGTAAACTGGGGCGGACTTTTTATCAGGATGCAGCTGGTATCATTAGCGTGTCAACTCTTTGTTGGTTGCTGAAGAAGGGGACGGAGCACGTGTGGGAATGACCTGAGTGCACTGATATCATTTCTTGATTCATTCATTCAATCATTCATTCATTTGTCCAGTTAGCTCACGCATCAGAAAGCCTTTGTTTTCACATGTCAAAGGACATTTTGACAAGGAGTTGACTTTAGTTTGCAAGAAATAAAGTTATTGTACATAGTCTTGTATGTACTTCTGTCATTAAACATATTGTATGCTAAAGGTTTTCTAGCTGCATCTGTTGCAGTCACCTGCCAGCCATCTACATTTAAGGCAGTGCCAGGTGAATAATTCCTCCTCCTCTATCCTCCCATCCTCGAGGAATTGGTAGTTGAATCTTTCACCAAATGGACAGGAGTCCCTTCTTCTTCAGCATTCCAAGCCCTTTTCACCCACATCCAACATTTAAATCTGTCAAACTCTAGAATTAAAAAATTAGTTGATAATTTATTTGATCTATATTTAACTTCATAACAGAGTCAAATTACGAATTATAATTCACTAGACTATAACAAAAGTCGGTTATTGTGTAAACAACAATGTTAACATCAAGTCAGTAAGAATGATACTTAACCATTGTCACTCTGGACCTTACTGCTTTCCCTGGAAAATTAGGTTCAACAAAACTAAGTCTTCATAACCGCAACTATAATACGCTATCTATATACAGGCACTGTTATGGCCATACTTTAGTGGGGAACTCAGGGATCCACCAGTTCTCATCTATCTATAATTTTCTATTATTCTCCAAAGTTTGTTTTTGTTTACACCTAGGGCGGAGCTCCCTGCTGATTGTCCTTCTTGGCTTCACAGACTTGTATCATCTAATGTCAAACCTGCCATTGGATTGAATGCCTCAGCATAGTTCTCTGGTTTGGTAATCTAGTAAGAATGCAGCCGGAACAACTACCAGTGCAGGTTCTTCACATGAAAAGATTTGATGTGAAAGCAAGAGGTCGCCATAGGAGCTGCTGCTGTGGGCAGTGAGCAACTATATGATAAAGCAGATGTCGTGAAGGGTCTGTGGGATCAGATTGACAGTACAAAAGAGCAGATATGGAATCTGTACACTGAAAGACGAATTCAACAGGGCTGTGTAGAGGTTCTGGGAGATATTCAACATTGAAGAGTAAACTGGGGCGGACTTTTTATCAGGTTGCAGCTGGTATCATTAGCGTGTCAACTCTTCGTTGGCTTGTGACCTCATAGAGCAAGGCTATTCAACTAAGTTGACTCAGGGGCCAAAATGTATGAAAATGGGGATCGTCGCGGGCCAGAAGCCCCAGCCCCAGCATAGGAAAAACCATAAATGCAATACAACTAGCAGCGATCCGTGGGCCACTTGCTAGGCCTTGGCAAGCCAGATTTGGCCCGTGGGCCGCCAGTTGAATAGCCCTGTCATAGAGTCACTAACTTATTCGTTATAAAATATGATTAGTTTTGTCCTTTTAAGGATGAAATTTTTTGTCATTCGAAGCCCCACCCTGGTTTTGCCATGGACCACAATATAGGCAGGCCATAAATATGGCCAATTGTCTGAACGCGGTTTCTGGGACCTCTCCACAGCGATCCTCATCCATATGGTAGCACTTTGTGTGATTGGGTGTTTATCGCTTGTGTGATGTCCTAGTGGGGTAGAAAGTCAAGTCAGTCACTAACTATCTAGTCTGCTCTGGAATGTTCTACTACCAGCTCAGTTCTCATACCCACTATTTAAATTAGCTTCCTCACACATGGTATGGTCTGTCAAATCAAAACCATCCCCCAGTATAAGACAGCCGATCTCATTTAGAAAGGAGGGGTACCGATGCAGCATGCAGTAGCTTTCTCAACTCAGTTTTCATGCTCACTATTTAAATTAGCTTCTTCACACATGGTATGGTCTGTCAAATCAAAACTGTCCCTTAGTTAAAGGCAAGCTGATCCCATTTTAAGAGGAGGGGTGTCAATGCAGTATCCTTTCCCCAGTTCATGTCAACAAGCTCTATCCTAAATTGGCTCTCCCCCATCCCAGGATTGAGTCCCATTCCATAACTGCGCTATCCCTCAGCTCTTGGTTGTAGCTGTGTGTATTCCTAGTGTAAATGTTATTCTGTCCCCTAGCTGTGTGTATTCCTAGTGTAAATGTTATTCTGTCCCCTAGCTGTGTGTATTCCTAGTGTAAATGTTATTCTGTCCCCTAGCTGTGTGTATTCCTAGTGTAAATGTTATTCTGTCCCCTAGCTGTGTGTATTCCTAGTGTAAATGTTATTCTGTCCCCTAGCTGTGTGTATTCCTAGTGTAAATGTTATTCTGTCCCCTAGCTGTGTGTATTCCTAGTGTAAATGTTATTCTGTCCCCTAGCTGTGTGTATTCCTAGTGTATATGTTATTCTGTCCCCTAGCTGTGTGTATTCCTAGTGTAAATGTTATTCTGTCCCCTAGCTGTGTGTATTCCTAGTGTATATGTTATTCTGTCCCCTAGCTGTGTGTATTCCTAGTGTATATGTTATTCTGTCCCCTAGCTGTGTGTATTCCTAGTGTATATGTTATTCTGTCCCCTAGCTGTGCAAACAGTCTGTTCATGCACTGAGAAGCTAACTCTGTTCATCATCAGCAGGCGATCATGCCTCTCCACAACCTGCGATCTCCTGCAGCATGTATTCGTTCGTGTGCTGACACACCTCCATGCCATGCAACAAGGCTGTCAAGAATCTTCTCTTGTTGTCTTCTTCTATCCCTCCTTCCACAGATCTTTCCAGTGGTCACAACATGTTCCATTTTCCCTCTTCTTATAACATGGACAAAATATGATGACTGTCTTCTTCTGATGTCTTTGATTAGTTGACTTCAGGCTCCCACCTCTTTCAAAACCTTTTGATTACACTTTTTGGCTGTCCAAGGTATTTTAAGCATTCTTCTGTAAAACCACATCTCTGAGGCCTTAAGAAATTATTTGGCCTGCCTACCGATTGTCCAGGAATCACAGCCATATGTTAAAACTGGATGTATGTAGCAAGCAAGAATTCTTTTTGTAACCTAAATTCTACACCTAAATCATGTCTCGAAACATAATGAATTAAGATAACCCTGTTTCACAGCATTAATTTTGAAAATTTATGATTTTTTAAAATCAGGAATCTGATTAGTTCTGCTTCTGATTTTGGTTGATGTTTTAAAGAGATTTTGATCTCAGTGCACAAAGTAACCAATAATCTAAGTTGTGCACTTGTAGCTTAGTGTAGCAACCTGAATATGCTACTTATAACCTGTTGCTTTGTGGACATGATTATGTTTACATCTCTTCATAATGCCACTGAAAAAAAAACTACTGAAAAAAATATACTGTAATATATTGTATAACAGTTTTTCAAAGTTAATTGTTGAGGAGCCTTTGAGGCCATTGTAACAACATGATAAACAAACTGACATGTATTGGTTGATACTAAAATAAGAAGAAGATAGGAGAACAAACTAGATAACATAAACTTTCAGTTTGGGGGGAGGGGGGGTGTTATCTCTACTTCTTCCTCCTACAGTGCTAGTCTGTCCACTCCTCTGACAGATTGTATGATAACCTGTGACATATTTCTGGATTTTGTTCAGGTCCATCAGCCAGAAAACTCTGCAGCTGTTTACCAAAGACAAAAATTTACAGCTTTAGGACGAGAACGTGCCTCAGATCGTATCCAAATTTTCTTCCTTGAAACATAAGGAGTTGTGTCATAGAAACAAGCAACCTAGAGGATTGTCACTAATGGAAAAAAAAGATATTATTTCAAGGCAAAAATTTGTATCCACATTGATTCTGTTTGTAATGTTTCTGTTGCTATAATCTGCTGCAGTAGACTTGAGTTAGAAAAAGAGCGGAGCACTTATGGGTTACTTCCTGTGTGCCGAGATGTTGATCCGTTGTTCAAACCTCAAAACCTTAGTCTGCTGCAGTACACATTATGCCGTCCATTTTGAACTGCTTGCACAAATCATTGCTATTGTCTTGCCACTGAGCTTGTTTTTGTTTTCTTTGTGTGATGTGTTGAATGTCAAATCAAGAATTGACATCACAGCACTTGGGACAGAGTTCTAACTCTGATGGTCATCATCATCATGTAGCAGGTCATTTGCAGAACGTCGCTCTCATCACAGTCTGCCTGAAAGAAACTCGGTCTCTCGCCAGTTCTCCCGCCTCATGCACTTTCACACTCAAGGAGTCACTTATATCCTGTGCCCATCTTCGTGTTGGTCGGCCCCTGCCCCTCCTTCCTGGTACCATAACTTCTGCTATAATTTTTTCCAATCCATTGTGGCACTTGATATGACCAAAATATTTCAGCTTTCGAGAAAGGATGCTGTTTATTAGCCAATCTTTCTTGATGTTCAGATCTTTTAAGATGATCTGACCTGTAACAATTTGATTGTCTATTTCTCTCGCCTTTGCCCTGAGTGTTGAACATCTGCCAGATCCCGTGGTCGCTCCTCACATTACCCATTCTCCTGAGACCGTAATGATCTGTTTGTGTCACGGCACTGTTTCATTGCTCCAAGGAAACCTTATAACATCTGGCTTGTCATGCATCTGTATACCACCAGGTGCTGCAGAACAAGCCAATCTATCTGCCCATTCATTTCCCACACTGGTGTACTTAGAGAAAATATCTAAAGAACTCTAACTACCCAGGACTTCTGAAGTGATGCTTGCCACTCTGCCTGAAGCATACCTGTCTCCACCTTTCTCAACTTGCTTTGGGAGTCAGTTACAACTATGAAATGTGTGCACAGCTGGCTCTCAAGATAGCAGACGGCAGCAATGACTGCCTCCACTTCCATTCTCAAACTAGAGGTTTTGGTATCATATACCAGGCTTTTTTGCAAGATGTTTATGTATTGATAGAACACTGATGTAAGTATGAGTGAATGTTTATGTATTGTTGTGAATACTGATGTTAGTATGAATGAATGTTTATGTATTGTTGTGAATACTGATGTTAGTATGAATGAATGTTTTTGTATTGTTGTGAATACTGATGTTATTATGAATGAATGTTTATGTATTGGTGTGAATACTGATGTTAGTATGAATGAATGTTTATGTATTGGTGTGAACACTGATATCAACTTGAGTGAGTAATGTATTCCTGTATAAAATTATGTAATTAACTGCACTATATGTGTGCATATCATTGATGTAAGCACTTGTAATATTTATGTTATTTTATATGATTGTCAAACTACTGGACGTAAATTTGCCTAGAGAAACCACACAACAGCCACTGGCTGCTGGGATTGGTTCTGCAACGTCCTGTAAAGGATATGCAACTAACCGTATATGATTGTATTCACACTTAGTTATTTTACCTGTGTAAACTATGGTGATACTATGGCTAAAGTGCCTGCCTACCAAAAGTATGGTCCAGGTGTGATATCTGGATATGGAAGGTATTTTCTCCATGTGGGTTCCAGGGCCCCATTCTGAAAAAAAAAATGGGGGGAGGGGGGGAATAGATCCACTACTCTTATAACAAGCATTTGCCTGTCAAAATTAGTGTCCAGGTTTGATGCTCGGAAATGACACATTTTTTTCCCATTAGGGCAGCTCTGGGGTTGACCCAGCCTCACAAAAATTGGTACCAGAAATTGTCCTGAGATTTCACTTGAAGGAAGGAATGACAATCAAGACAGCTGGCCACAGTTCCTGATGTGTCCTGGCCTAGAATATGACAGTCTACATACTTAGCTCATGTCAGGAGAAGAAGAAACCTGGGGTACTTGTGTGGGTGTGAAAGTTGGAGGGGATGAGAGGCAGCGGCAGACCAAGAGTGAAGGTGTTGGACAGCTTGATAACATGGCATGAAAGATTGTGTGTCTGAACTGATTGTAAATACATGAGACAGAAAGTAGTGGGAAGACATAACTATCAATGCCAAACAGCGTGGACTATAAGAAGAAGAAGAATGTTGAATCGATTCAAGAACCGACGTGGCAGCATCATAAGCGATCTGTCTCCATCTTCAGCAGCCACTGCAGAGTTCCAGCACCAATGGTATCAGTAGCAAACTGATTATACGTCCCCCTCACCTTTCATTGAGTATCGACCAGATCCCCTCATTACTCCTTACTGCCTCACTCTCACCAGACTGTGATGATCCATTTGCTCACATAAGGCCTTGACCACATGTGCCTTATCATGTGTCAGCATTCAACCAAGTTGTACAGAGGCAGCCAGTCTGTCTGCCTGTTCATTTCTCAACAAACCGGCATACCCCAGAGAAAAGATCCAGACAGTGCTCCTCACCTGTGACCTCTGAAGCAAAGCATGCAGCTCTGCACCTCGACCATTAGCTTGTGCTAAGAACTCTGGAGCACTTCTTTTGTCTCTTGATGCTGAACCATTTGTATAAACAATGACACTACCTGAGCAAGCATTATTATAATTGCTGAATTCACTCCTCCGTGGCACTTGCTGGCCACTCTCTACTGTCACAGCTCGATGTGATTATGACTCTACACAAATCTGACTGTTCTTCGGGCACTCTGACCCACTCCTCTCCTCATCTTATGTTCTCCAGGATGCAAACCTGTCTGATCATATCCTCTGCCTAGGCCATCCATGAACTCCATCTTATCAGCTGCTGACCCTTGACTTCATGCAAAGTATCATGCAAAGTATGATCTGTGTTGCAGCAACTCTGAGATATGACTTCGCCTGCAGCAACTCGAGCTAACCTGCACCAAGGATGTATTACATACACACTACTGGCTTGTCTCTGGTACAGCCCCAAATAACCCGCACAGCTGCTTTCTGTATGCGCTCTAACTAGCTGACTATTTACAAAAGAAGAATGCATCAAGTCCTAACACTTAGGTATCATACCTAAGTATCCGCTATAGAACTACCTTTACAGCTGTGTATTGATCGTAAATTTGTATTTACTAGCAAATATAATTGAAACTCTCTTGCATTGTTTGATAAACATTCCTTCTTTTGCACCATGAGCTATATATTTTCTGCATTTATCACTTGTGAAATATTATATGAAAATAACATTTATTGTTTGCTTCCCATTTATTGATTGTTATGCTAATGAGAATAAAGACTGTTATCAGTAATATCCAAGTCTTTTTTGTAAAATAATTTCAGTAGACTTAAATGGATAGTAGGAAAAATCCTGAAAGAGGAACAAGCAGGTTGTCAAACCTGGAAGCAGCTGCTTAGATCACATATCCACCCCGAGCTTATTTTAGAGGAATTTGTTGAAAATCAACAACCCTCCCTTTTTTTTAGTCGACTTTCAAGAAATTTTGAGACAGCTAACATAAAGCAACACTGTGGGGAATTTTGTGATAGCTAACATAAAGCAACACTGGGAAATTTTGTGATAGCTAACATAAAGCAACACTGTGGGGAATTTTGTGATAGCTAACATAAAGCAACACTGTGGGGGATTTTGTGATAGCTAACATAAAGCAACACTGTGGGGAATTTTGTGATAGCTAACATAAAACAACACTGTGGGAAATTTTGTGATAGCTAACATAAAGCAACACTGTGGGAAATTTTGTGATAGCTAACATAAAGCAACACTGTGGGGAATTTTGTGATAGCTAACATAAAGCAACACTGTGGGGGATTTTGTGATAGCTAACATAAAGCAACACTGGGAAATTTTGTGATAGCTAACATAAAGCAACACTGTGGGGAATTTTGTGATAGCTAACATAAAGCAACACTGTGGGGGATTTTGTGATAGCTAACATAAAACAACACTGTGGGGAATTTTGTGATAGCTAACATAAAACAACACTGTGGGAAATTTTGTGATAGCTAACATAAAGCAACACTGTGGGAAATTTTGTGATAGCTAACATAAAGCAACACTGTGGGGAATTTTGTGATAGCTAACATAAAACAACACTGTGGGAAATTTTGTGATAGCTAACATAAAGCAACACTGTGGGAAATTTTGTGATAGCTAACATAAAGCAACACTGTGGGGAATTTTGTGATAGCTAACATAAAGCAACACTGTGGGGGATTTTGTGATAGCTAACATAAAGCAACACTGGGAAATTTTGTGATAGCTAACATAAAGCAACACTGTGGGGAATTTTGTGATAGCTAACATAAAGCAACACTGTGGGGGATTTTGTGATAGCTAACATAAAGCAACACTGTGGGGAATTTTGTGATAGCTAACATAAAACAACACTGTGGGAAATTTTGTGATAGCTAACATAAAGCAACACTGTGGGAAATTTTGTGATAGCTAACATAAAGCAACACTGTGGGGAATTTTGTGATAGCTAACATAAAGCAACACTGTGGGGGATTTTGTGATAGCTAACATAAAGCAACACTGTGGGGGATTTTGTGATAGCTAACATAAAGCAACACTGTGGGGGATTTTGTGATAGCTAACATAAAGCAACACTGTGGGGGATTTTGTGATAGCTAACATAAAGCAACACTGTGGGGGATTTTGTGATAGCTAACATAAAGCAACACTGTGGGGGATTTTGTGATAGCTAACATAAAGCAACACTGTGGGGAATTTTGATATGCTGTGGTTCACCAGTGAAAATGATGCATTTTTTAAAGCAATCTATCAAGGTTAACAGTGCGAACAGATGATGGTTTAAGTTAAAACTGAGTGCATTTTATATCTC